TTCTGGCAACTCAATGCCAACTCGTGAATTTGCTTCCATTGTTGTCATCCGGCATACAAACCCTGAGCAGCTATCTAATCCTTGTGTATTGAGCAGCATCAGGAAGACGCAAACATTACATATCAACACGATTTTACCTCAAAAACCAAAATGAATACAAGGCAGATTTGTCCGTAGTGTTTGAAAGTTCCACGTAAGCACAGTGCCCACATACCATATATTCCCCAGGTTGAATGCAACCAGAGACAGAACATGCAGCTGCAGTTGAATGGTGGCGTCAAGCGTAGTAAACCGCTTGGGCCAACGCGTTTTGTATAGGATAGCGTGTACAATGCCGCGCTGGGATATGTTCTACTTCATGGATCATCGTATGGAAGGCTTTCGAGGGTTCCCGGTGTTTGACCACAGGTGCCCCCGAAGCATAGGGCGAGTGTGGTGGGAACATCAGATTAGTAATGCTGAAGTAGATGGTTTTCCGGAAAGTTCAGTCTCCCCTCGGTAGACCGGCTTGTCATATTCCATAGTTTACGCTGGTTAGGCGTGTGCTTCGTATACCAGAGGACCGTTTGGCTCGTAAAGGCCTCTTCGCCCAGCCTTGTGTCGGGTGGAGACGATCCAGGGGGTGGTCTTTCCATGACCCGGCGACGAAGCATAGAACTTAGCAATCAACTCAGTCGCGTTGGTAAATGCTGTCTTCCGGATGGGGACCGCGGGACAAGACAAACTAGTGGTTAGTGATCCTAAAAGATATGGCTGTCTCACGCAGCCAATGGAGGTTGTATATCAAAGCTATCACGTTCAATGCTTGGCGCTCAATCCCTGCAATCCCGGATAAACAGAACCATTGGACGTTAATGCACAGATTGGGACTTCGCCTCCAACACATGGCTCCCATTACTTTATGCTCGATGAACGAAGCTGTGGCAGCTGGAGGCACTGCATTTCGATCCACGGTTTGTGGGTTGAAAAACTGAACTGAACGCCGTTTGTGATTAGAACAACAGGGCAAACAAAGGGGGCACAATGGATTGCTTTTTGAACCGCTTGTCTGGTGGAACCGGTCAATGTTTCGCCCATATTTAATTGTAATACATTACTGCGCACAATTGGTGGACTGATGGCCGATGAAAAGGCGATGTTGATACCGACTAGCTGAAACCAGTCTCCTTTCACTTGGTCCCTGACTTACTCATAATCAAGGTATTCTTGACACTCTATGTGTAATTTGATGATCACCAAAGTTTCACAGAACCTGTTCTCGTATGTCCTTGAAACTGACAGCTTAATGACCATGAAATCTAATTTACTTTCATTCTTGTTCATACGAACTGACTCTCGTGTATTTTTGGTGTTTAGGAGCATCACATGCCCATGACGAAAGAATATTAGCGATATACTTTCGTCAGTAAAGGCACAGTTTGTCCCTAGGATAGATAGGTTTTTTTCTGTCAGCTGATCTGCTCATTGTCTACTTCACTTTCGGGAAGAGCTGTCCCAGCCTCCACGTTTCTCTGTCCCAATATAATCGGATAGTCGATGCTATCGGATGGGACAGTGCGTGATCGCTGTGGCTTCATTTGTTGCACACAACTCCTCACATTTTTCCGTCAGCCGTGACATGATGTGTACATCTATCAACCTGACTATAGTCCCTCTTGAGAGTCGTTGGACTTGTCGAAAAATAGTGACCCTCCATAAATCATAAGTTTGCTATTAGCGTGATTTTATGAATGTCGTGACGAGACTATGTCGAATTTCGTCACTTTTGTTGGAGGTGGTTTCCAATTTTCGAAATCATAAGACTTAAAAAAGCTCCACCGAAACTGTCTTCATCCGTTCCATTTCGGCATCCCCTAGTGGTTATAAGTGTGTCTTTTCGAACAATTCTGATGTGAATGGAGGCGGCCATTGGACACATCCTCACTTATTTGCCTGCCGTAGCCGACCTTAACGTAGTCGCGCGAAATGAGCGCGGTCCAATTCAGGATGAGAGCTGTGGGACCTTCGCATCTTCCTGGCTGGGATCTGCGTGATTCTCCTTGCACGCTGCTATAAACCCCTGAGAATATGCAACGTAACTGATCTGATTAGCATTCTTGACTCAGTGGTTAGAGCGCAAATTTACTGACCAGGAGGTCCGTGGTTCGACTCGACCTCTGCCTCTCGACTTCCCTTGTCTAAGCTTGGGAAACCTGACAATATCCTAGCCCTCTTGCTTCCTTCGAATGACATGGCAGTTAGGCACCGAAAGGTGCTACAGATGAACTATTTTCTCTTGTCACCCTCTAGGCGGACTAGCTGTTGTACGTTTTATGCCGAATTCTTGTTGGATGAGGCTCGAAAAAGACGTCGGGTCAGCCCTACTAATGATGTCTCACTCCATTTTTATGGTTATATCATAGTTAAGCACCGGCAGATTGCTGTCGACGATATCTACCTACCACGAGTTACCCAGCGCGTATTCGTCCTTCTTCTTTACTTGAAAACTCGTCAAAGGCCGTTAATACTGCGTGGATATTAACCGCTTGATGTTGTGTTGTCAACACAGATTGGGCTAGTTTATACAGAACCGGTAGAGCATTGTTTGGTTTCAAGTTGGTGAGCGATTCTTTTCCGTAAGACCCACGCTTGATCGATCCGACGTTCTAGGTTTTGGTGCTCCAGTTTGCACATGGTCGCAGTAGTTGCCCTATTTGTGCCTCATGGTGTGCTGGTGGTTTGTACCAGAGCCGGGCCAAACAATTACACATCTGTGATGGTATGCATACGTTGCGCACTGACCACGATAGACTTTTTTCGGAGAAACGTGGTGATCGACCGATCATTATCTCAGTGCACTACATGACTCCGGTAATGCTTCACCCTTTCTCACGTCTTTTCTGGGGCATCTTCTTTACCCTTTTCCGCGAAGTTTCCGAGTATTTTTTGCGAAGCTTGAGTACAGGGCATCTTCAAGATTACCGTAAACCCATTAGGATAAGTAAAATTACTTGGTGATTTCAGAGGGCTTTGGTGATTTGTTTAACTGCTTCACGATTGCCCTTGCCTAAGCCTATTATTGTATGTACTAATTGTAAGATTCCGGATGATGCAGTGAGTTTCGGTTTCCCTGTGTGGCCTTGATTTCACGTGCTCAGTATTGAACGAAGTAGAGTGACCTTGTGGTTGCATCACACGCGGACGGTCGAACCGAACCAAGCTTTTTGTCCTCTTCACTGACCTTTGTCTACTTATGGCTTTAACCATTGTTTGTAGCCACACTCAGCCGGTTGGTCATGTGCACTGGCATGATGTTCGTCATGATGCAATAAGTTGGTTTCGGCTGGTTTCTCCCCCTCCATCGTTTACCGCCATCGCATTAGAATACACTTCATTCCCGCTTGTGTGTGCACTAGTGTTTTCGCTCTTTAATTCAACCAACGCCTGGTCATTTTCGCGCCACGCGACCTATCCAGTGTGAAGGCTAATCAGCGTCAACAAACAGTATACCGAAGTCTGCAACTGCATCCATTTTCTGTCACGGATACGCGTGTCCTGACAAACTACTGACCACCATCCTCCCCCCACCCCGTGCCAAACATGACTCATTCATGCATTTCACAACAAATGTCAGCCAGTTGTTTAGTTGATGGTGTGTGCGAAATTGGGTCTCCAAAACGAATCCGCCTATGCCAGTTTGCTAGGCACATCGGTCGAACGTCACCTGGCTGCCACACAGGTGAACATGAAGTGTGTCCGCATAAAACTTTCGCTGCATAGTGAACACAGCTCTCCCGGTGACGTTCTGCCAGACAGGTGAAGTGATGAGCTATGTGATCATCTTTCCACTTCGTCATGGGTTAAATGCCGTACAGCGTCTAGACGGCTAGTGTTATTGCGGATTCACATTTATTGACGGTCGATATTCGGTTTCGGGGGGATTCTGACTGCCTAGTCCTGGTTCGCTCTGATGATACCTGTTTAGCGAAGCCGGACATTGGTTCATGTTACGGACACAACACGGGTACTCACTGGATGAAACGTGTTTGAGTCCAGTCATTAGGTGACTAATGCTCTTTTTGTACCGTTTTTTGTGACCTTCACTACTCGTGATCATTGTAGACAGAACACACGTAAATATTGAGCTTTTATGAGGTTTTTTTGTCAGTAAATTTTGATCCGTTTGGTGGATCGTGATTCTTATTGCATCCCAACTTTCAGTTGGCAAGAGGGCTAAGCGCAACATATATCGCGCGTCTGTCTTGTGAACTGGCTTCTCCAAGCTGCTTATTCCCCGCGCTCTTTATGGGGACTCATGAACGTCACCCTTTTTATCTCATGTTCACAGGTTTCATTGAATTTTTCTGATTCAGGTATTCTTAACACAGTTCACCTTAACTTTAACTGTGCATTTAGACAAGTCTGTGAGCGGTTAATCAACATGTTTTTGTAGGTTTATCTAACGACATTAGGTGCTACTGTAGATGACGTGCCTTCTTATAATGGGCAGCACTCGTGTACGGGTTTGAGCTGCGTTCAACACGCAACGAACGTTTCGTTTGCTTTTGACTCAGCCCATCTGAATGCTGTCCTGACCCGTTTGACTGTGTTCAAAGCTATCGCCCAGTGTCAGGCAATCCTATTTCCAAAAGCAGTTATTTTCAATTTTTATGGTGTTTTTCGTCGATACCGAGTTCATCGTCTAGCACGCCCACGGTAGACTCTGTCCGTAGCGTTTTCGGTACTCATTGCTGAAATTTCCCAAAAGAGTTCACCTCCCTATAAGGGCCATAAGGATGTTCACCGTTACTTCTAATTCGAGGTAGACTCCCCACCCCGGAGAAAAGACACCATGCCCCTTTCCGCACAATGTGCTCCTTCTGGGGGATTACTGTAGCTTGTCTGGGTCAGCTTTCTCGAGCGTTTGTCTCCTTGAAGTGAAAATTTCTGGTGGTGAATCCAGCCTCGTCTTGTTCATTAGTCCTCTTTTTTCACCAATTGCAATATTTGATTCTATTCAGGCGCAACAACTCCCTCGACAAATGCACCGCGTCTGAAGGCTCACTTGGTTGCCGGTCCTAACACTCAGAGTGTGGTACATCCAAGTCACTCGTCATTTTATTCAAGCCAGCCTTCGTCTAGTTTTACATCCGGTTCAGCTAATCCATGTGCTCCATCGGATCATATGCGTGGATCTGTACCTCCTCAGAAAAATGTGCCAAACTCTTCCCATGGAGCTGCATCGAGGGTTCAGCTAATGCATGCCGCTCCGAGCGCCTTTGCGACACATATCTCAACGCCAGTCAATCGGGTCAAGCAAAACACTCAATTCAGTCCGCTGGGACAAACAACAGACGAATCTTATTTTGGTGGACCACAGCAATCAAGATACGACAAGCCGACGGCCCCGTTGCCCTCACGTAAACAGAGAACCACATCTCCATCAGCTCAAATGCCAACGCCGGTCACACATGGACGACCTCCCTGTTCGACAGCCGCCCAACAGTATCCGTCCGATAGACCTTCTGGTAGAAATGCATGGGCTGCTCATTCGTCTAGTCGAACGCCATACACACGGGACGCGATGGACTCAATGTATGGTCAAGCTGATAGCAGTAGTAGCAGCTTCATCAGTACTCAGGTGAGTCCACTGCTCAATACCTCATGTAAACGTTTTGGACCGGACGTCTCATTTCAAGAGCGCGTTATAAATTGGTCAGGGGCGATTATTCATTTTTCGGTATAGACCACCTTAACCTATCTGACCCTCACTTGATTCTCAAGGTTGTTGAGAACTCTTCGGTAGCCCTTATTGAAGCTCCTCAGGTAAGCTTAGCCTTCATACAGCAAGTTAAATTAAGGAATACCGTTAACGAGATATTCATACGGGATTCAATTTAGTCTTTCCTTAAAACTAAATTGGTGTGCATATGTGTGTATTTCACGGACTCATACGATCCTCTTATTGTGCATCTGTTAACTCGTTATCCGGGTCACGAAGTACTTTATACTTGAAATACTTCTTGGGATGATAACAGCAAGCACGTATCTGAATTAGACTATTTCACGAACAGTGTGTTCACCTACGAATGTATCTAATTATTACATTCTTGGAAGTGCAATGTTTGGAAAAGCACATCTTGTGGAATGAGACTGACCAGAAAATCGCATTCGATTCTTCAGAGCGGAGCCCTCGCTCCTCAACGGTATTTAGGATCTCTCATAAGCGATTCAAAAACAGTGCACTCAGCTCAGTGAATGCTTTCTACATCTCTAGTTACAATATGAGATCGAAAACAGGCCCAGCAACAGTTCCCTTCTTCCTGGTAAAAGTTGCTCTGGGCTCAGCGAACGATATGAGGCCTACTAGTGCGCTCTCGGTCATTTGAACGAGAGGGTCGCCCAACTTTAGCTGACAGGACTCGAACGTGCTTTATCTTTTGGTATGTCCTGAAGCAAAAGGATTAAATTTCTTTCTTTCAAGTAGAGTATCACCATTGGGTTATGTACGGGCGATAGCTATTGAGCACTCAGTGGATAATCATCAACTGCCGAAGTACTAGGATACACTTTTTCCTACGCCCGAAGAAGAACCTCTTCGAAGAGAGGACACCGCTCGGGTGGGCACACAGTAAGCATCCTCCATCAGGTTGCAATAGGTCTTCCTACCTCTAGAGGCCACACTGCGCCCTGTGGAGTCCACGGTTTTGTTTCCCAAGGGCCGATTCCACTCCCCTAAAAAGGTCAGAAATGCTGGACCGCCTGTCTAAACCATACTGAAAACACCCAGGTGTTTCAGAATCAACTGATTATTCCTAACAACATGAGTTGCCGAAACTAGGCAAGCGACGATGTCAGTTTAAAAACTGGATAGAAGTTGTTGCTGCTCGACAAATGTTTAATTTTATCCCCACGTTGGGATGAGCAACCTCTTCCTTCTCATGCATTGGTAATGATAACATCTGTTTGATAATGATAGTTTTACAGCCACTGCTTGTAGTCAGTTTTCCATGCGAAAAATTCCTCATCTAAGGTCAAACTGGTTCCCAGTTTGACAAGGTTTCCCGTGCGGTAGCAACACGTGATTGTAACAAATAGATGCATGTTGAGACCTGCATTCACATTGTTATGTTAAAATTTTTAAGAAGGGAATAGCTGAACGCCATTTTGGCTTGTTGCAAAGTCCAAGTCTCCTTTAATTTCAGTTTCCTCATCCCACTTAGCAGGGGAAGCTTTCAAGGCAGTGAAACCATCTTCGAAACACACCCGCAGAAGTGACAGGTCGGACATTTTGGGGGACAATCCGGCTGGTCTCCTTTTGGGCGCACTCAGCGAACCAGAATGAAATGTAGACACCGTTTTCTTACGCAAAATTTGACACGCTGATTGTAACAAGGCATCAGGCTCTGACCACTTAAACCCCACACTCTTCAAAGAAGATTAGGTACAAACGCGTATGAACCTAATGTGAAATATGTGGAACCATGATAACACATAAGTGGAATGAAGCGTCTCCGTCATGGTCCTATCATTGACAACGAGTGAGAACCGTGGCATCATCCTGACAGCTTTTGCCTCCAAAATACTCTCGGCTTTATCCCGCACAGATCCATTGTCAAACCCGTGAGAACTAAGTTTAATTTTACCCTTGACGAGGATGCATTCGCCACACCAACGGATCCTGGAACACAGTCATGGCTACCAACGTGCTCCAGCTTTCTCTACCTCTCATTATGTTGATCGTCGGATGCCACTGAAGTATCTGTCGACTAAATACGTTCAATAAATCTTTTTATTTCCTAGAGACACTAAAGACTCGCTAAATCCCACTGCTTTATGAAAAGCCCTTGCTCTGGCTCACTTTGAATGGACTGTTCCCCATTATCCTTTCTTTACATCTTTATTGGCATGCCTTTTCCTAACCTTCCCTTAACACCCTAGTCGAAATTCCCAATGAGGTTCACTAAGCTATTTAGTATACTGACGTTTGCTATTTTTGAGTCACATCCTTCCGAAGTACATACCCACATGCAATTCAGTCCTGTAAATCATGTAGTGCTACTGCAAGGCTGAGTGGGATGAACCCATACCTTATGCTTTAAGATGAGCCCGTCGAGTGGTCGATAGGCCATCAGTACCTGGTTGGCTGCATAATTCTTCCTGGTTACGTGCTCCAGTTTCTCTACCTCTCATTATGTTGATCGTCGGATGCCACTGAAGTATCTGTCGACTAAATACGTTCAATAAATCTTTTTATTTCCTGAAGACACTAAAGACACGCTAAATCCCACTGCTCTGGCTCACTTTGAATGGACTACTCCCCATTATCCTTTCTTTACATCTTTATTGGCATGCCTTTTCCTAACCTTCCCTTAACACCCTAGTCGAAATTCCCAACGAAGTTCACTAAGCTATTTAGTATACTGACGTTTGCTATTTTTGAGTCACATCCTTCCGAAGTACATACCCACATGCAATTCAGTCCTGTAAATCATGTAGTGCTACTGCAAGGCTGAGTGGGATGAACCCATACCTTATGCTTTAAGATGAGCCCATCGAGTGGTCGATAGGCCATCAGTACCTGGTTGGCTGCATAATTCTTCCTGGTTAAGGAAAAGACAAAGCCACTTCCCGAATCAGGGAGACTCCAGAGCGGCTTTTGACAACCAGCGTCATTTGTGTCGCCGTCTTGCTGCCGGACTGTCCGTCAGCCTTGGGTTTCCAAGCTCTGCTGTTCGTCTATTCCTGCGATTAATTGAGACAACTCGAAAATGGTTAGTCATATCTGGCAACAGAGTATGAAATTTTTGGTCAGTAAACTCAGTCACATTGGTGAGTTTTATTTAGAGTTTATTTTCACGGCTAGCGATGCTGTACACGGAGACAACTCGAAGATGGTTAGTCATATCTGGCAACCGAGTATGAAATTTTTGGCCAGTAAACTCAGTCACATTGGGTGAGTTTTATTTAGAATTTATTTTCACGGCTAGCGATGCTGTACACTACGATCGTGCCAAGCATACCATCGATAAGACACACTTGGGTGAATTGGCCACGTCCTCCTGCCTCCACACATGTGTGCACGTTTTGTCTATTTGGCCTGCCTGTTATTTACACTACGGATCAGTAGTATTTTCGTGTGGCCGTACCAGTAGTGGTCCAGACAGATTATTCTCTGTGCCCTTTAAACTTGGTCAGGTCGACCATTGGGCTGAACCAAAGACACAAGTTTTAACTCCCCCCATTGAGTTGTCTCTGGAGAGGACAGTGGCATTCTTGAGTCTCAGAGTAAGGGAAGTGTTGATGTGATCGTGATCACAATATACTTAACGGTCGTGTGCCGGTGGTTTCACACTTTCGAGGTTTCATCGCGATCCAAAGAATTCTCATGGTCACATCACTGAGAGTGATCGACCTATTTGGCCTACTGCGGACAAAGTTGATCGCTTGTTGTTAGGCGGAATTCTTCATCGTTACCGCTTTACCGCTCGCAGTTAGTCGCTGCTATGGCCAAGAATCCTATCCCGCACGCTATTGGCCAGGAGATCGGGCCGCTTGCCGGTTCAGCATCATGGCGAGTTTTGCTTGGCCGAAAGTCTGAACCCCACCGCCAATCATGACCCCATATCCGCCGAATACCGGACGCAGATGGCGCATCCAAAAGGCATCAGAATTTACAGGATATTGTCGCGGAACATACTTAATATACGAGGCGCTGTACATGTGTTGTTGATCCGCTTTTGGAAGGTTCAGACCGAGAGCTAAGCTGAGAGAATACCGTTATCACAGCTGTTGGTGCCAAATCTCTTTTTGCTTGGATCCCGAAATTCAGGTTATTTGGCGTGATATAAACGAAGCACATTACACTAGTCCAGCGTAACACAGCCTCAAATCCAACAATATACTTTTGAATATACTCTTTTTTTGTAAATGTTATCAGATAGCGACCTGAGATAGCTCATTGAATGCATCAGGTATTTTCATGCCATGACACAAAAATGCAACACAGGACTGATTTAGTTTCGTATGAAATGGGCTTATTTCTGTGCCGTTGTGAACTACTTGTACGCGCCACGCGTCATGTTTTACCTTAATCAGTTCAAACTTATGGTCCCATTTCCTCAGGGACCAACAATTGTGTTAAAAATCACCAAATAATTAATTAATGTAACAGTGGCCTGGGGTGTTGGGCGCCTGGAAGTCGCAAGACTAATCAACCTAGATGTGAGGTGTTCAGATTTGGATGTAGGGATAACGTCTCTCGTGATTCTATCCCATCATCGTTCTGCAACGAATCAGGTGTTGTTATAGCTACCCTGAAATCCTTATTAAAAGGCTCCCTAGTATGGGCTGACCTTTCAGCATTTCTGGCGGACATACATCTACATGCTCAATAATGTTTCATGCATTCACCCCTAGCCTAATTGACATGATGATGTGAAAAATGAGCCTGTAGGTTTCTCAGATACCCAAGCAGAAACGTCTGCTTTTTCAAACACCTGATCTACAGGCTACTTTCTCCGATCTTCAACACAAGAATCATGCGTTCAAAAAGTTTGGTTGTTTTCATCTGTATTGTACGCATCATCAGGCAAGACATCCAGCTTGATGCGTTATAGTTTTTCCCAGTGTCCCACCATGATGATGGATATTTTATTTGTTGCAAACATCATGGGTGAATGTTTTAGCAAGGTTTGAGTCGTAGGGCCAGGTGTCTCTTCGCTCATGTAGATTTGAGTCAAAACAAATCTCGAAGACAAACGGTCCTGACCCATACACACACACACAAGCGCAGATACCGCATTTCGGCTGAGCTACTGTTCTGTCGCTAAAACAGGTCTTTTTAGGACCACCCTACGATACCATGTGCAGGCAAAGTGGGTCTGTTTGAAGCCGGATCACTGGACACCCGGTGGCCCGTCTTCACTCTCGTCAAAATTCAACGTTTTATGAGTGAACCGGAAACCCAGGCTCATTTACCAACAGGTACACAGAACGAGCTGCATTACAGAGAGATGATTAATCTTCATCATCGACAACATAGCTACACTGTCATTTTGATGTGCGCTTTCCGGTTTGTAGGATCGCGTTTAGTATACCTTTTTGGTTCCTATGAGTATCTCCAATGCCCGTTGACTTAAAAATGTAGCCCTGGATGCGAGGCGTCCTTTACTGAGAGGCATTGACTTAGACGTGCAATACACTGAAAGTCTCTCGCTAGCTTTTGTCACGATACATTTTGCCAGTCAGTTCAATGTCACCTCTTGCATATTTGGCTTTTGACAACTTTGCGTTGCGACTAGTTGCAAAGTAGGTTCTTTTTCGGCGGGGTGGAACAGACTAGCAATACGACCTGAAGTGTGGGCGGATGACTGTCGTCGGCGATTGGTTGGTTTGCAAACTTTATGTACCACTGTTATGTGTATCTCTCTGTGCGCGGGTTGTATGGGCGCTGTCACATGCAATCAATAGGTGGGCGAGAGAATGAGTAAGTCAGATTCACTCTGCCTACGACCAATCCTACTGCATCAAATGAACAGTAGATGTTACTACCTACCAGGGTTTTCACAAGATTGCAAGTATCGAAACACGAATTATGAGCTAGGCCACCTTATCCGCTCTTATCCAGTATAGACTTTTGCTTTCTTTATGCTATTATGTACACTTTAAAGCAGTATGATATTGAATGACTTGCAAGTTGTCTGGGTCATCTTCACCACTCTTTTGTCACGAGATTGCGGACAGAATAGCCTACGCAACAGCGACCGACTACGTTTTGTTGCACAATATCAAGCGCCAGCGTATCAGCGAAATGTGTTAGCAATTTTTGCCTCTGCTGCTTGCTTCAAACGTAAGGTGACATCTCCGACCGTGACTCACTCACCCAATTGATCTATTTTCACCCACTAACCACGCATCATGATGCATTTTTTCACCGGCTAACTGTTCTAGATAACGAACATGTGGTGCACTTCTGGGATACCCCTGCCTATAATCACATCTTCGTCTCTCGATCGAAGCACAAAACTGAATTCACAGTATGACTGGATTTTAGTTCATTTGTCATATTTATCTTACGCAGGCCTTTTGGCGTAAATTTTCACTCAACCAGAATCAAGGGTTTCACTCTTGCTGCGGTTCATCACCGCAGAACACGCCTGTCTTATCATTTCGATCGATCACTCTGTGTAGTTACTTTATGTTATCGCTACAACTGCAAACTGTGGAAAAGATGAGACAAAATTATTTCCAAGGATATGTTGGGTCACAATCCAAACGACGATCGCGAGCATTTGATGAGAAGAAGACAAGAGAATTATTGTGAGCTATTGGTGTCACTCTCACTTTGGATTCGTGACTTCAGGTTCGCCGAAACATAACGCTTTGCCCGGTACTAGCTACTGATCAACATCCAACGTTCTTGCATTTTCAGTTCAGTTTTCCTCCTGCAAGTGAAGTGAATCTATGCTGAAAGGCCTGGAAGCACTGTATAGCTGCTTCATTCCTATTGGGGAGTTTCGAATCCGCGACCTCCTAGTTAATAGCTTGAACACTTAACCATCCGGTTCTGGTTGGCTCCTAAACTGACCGGAAATGGTGAAGGTCGAAGCCAGGGCAGGATAAAAGTTTAGCGGAACATCCACGAAGGCGCTCAAGAAATATCGAGAGCGATAATTCAGAAAAACACTCTGGCCAAATTTTACTCTCTATGAATGTGACTTTAATAGGGAGGGCCTAGATTTAGAGACCCCATGTTTCCATCATAATACTCCCCAATTTGCCCAGATATCAGCGGTTTTCAACAAAGCACGTTGGCACAAGATCGCACCAGATTTTGTTCCTGAGATCATGGGAATCAGCGGGGAAGTTAGTCAATAGTATCGACACAGGCCAATATGGCATTATCATACCCGACAGTGCGAACGTGCCAGAAGGATGTTGCCACCATAATTTTGGTTCATCACAAAGCTCATCACAAGGTCAGATAACATGGTGAGTGACGAGGAGGTAATATCCCGATTGAGATTTCCAAAGCCTGCTCTCGGCTATTTGGCCACTTGATTCCTTTCTCTATGGAAACAAATTAGGCGACTTCGAATTGGTTGTGGGTTTTCAAAAGAAGGTTCGAAACTTATAGGAACGTCAGTTTGATCTATGTAGCCTACCAACCATTTGACACGTTAGTAATTGACCGCTTTTCGGTCTGATCCGATTGGCCTGTTATCAGTTGCCAGTGGACCTTTTCAATACCCAGACGCTTTCGAGATCCTGAATGGCCAGGTAAAAGACGAAATAAATACACGCACAACTAGTACCAGAACAATGTTCGTCCAACCTCAAGAAGTCGCGTGGACTGGATGGAAGATAAGCTCACTGTGTAGTGACGCAAATAAGAATTACTTCTTGTTCTTCAAGATACATTTTTCTGTTTTCTTTGTCCGTTTATATGTTGCTGGAGATCCGCCAGACATGTCGAATAGTCACCGAGTATCCTACCTTCAGTTTTCAGGCTGATTTGCTTAATCCGACCTTGTGAAATAAACTTGTCTGTGGCACAGTCCAAATGTAGAATCATGTGTAATTCTAAGCTTGCATGCTTCCAGGCTGATCCGACCTTGTGAAATAAACTTGTCTGTGGCACAGTCCAAATGTAGAATCATGTGTAATTCTAAGCTTGCATGCTGACCTATTCTTCATTACTTTTTATTTCCTTACCACATTTGATCAGAATTCCGGTGAAAGCAGTGACTTTATAACACCCAGTAGTCCTAGAACAAATCCTCGTCCGTCTACACAAGCGGAATTACGCACAAACGGTGCAGTACCTTCTGGTACTCGGGGTTTCGTTTCTCCACAACCGTCTCAGGAACTCCGCGTGAAACAAGCAACGTTGATCAGCGCCCCTTCTGGGAATGTCCCTCCTTGCGTTGCGACTGATGGTTTCAGCCAAGAAACCTCATCTGTTCAAAGGAAAACAGCTGCTATAACTTCGCCATCTCATCCATTTTCCGGTGGATATGGTCCATGCGACTCCAGTTCGCAAATGACTGTGAGTGAATTACGCTCAATAGCAGAACGCCAGCGGCAGCAACTTACTCGACAAGCGCAACAAATGCAAACCAAGGAAGAACGTCTGGCTTGGCTTCGGTCAGTTCGAGCCCAATCTTCCGGTCCGGAAAAGGTACCCTTTTTCTTTTTAACAGAAATTTTAATCTGCGCCTTTTTCCGTGTTACTCGCTTGCGACAGATCTAAAGCGCATTGTTCTGTGGAACCAAAGGTTGCTGTACACCGTTATTTTCTATAATAACAGCCTTAACTGTCTTGTCGACGGACGAATCAATCAGCAACAGGCGCAGTGAGTGCTGTATTTGAATTCTTATCCCTCGGAGCTCCTGACAACCAAGAAGGGAGATCCTAGATGGTGTCCATTGTTCGACTTTTTCTTTCTGAACAGCTTGTCATTATCGCACCCCGTGTATATTCTCGGCGTCTTGCTTCAGATATGCATCGGAGACATTCCAGAGCTGAACGAATTGATTTAACTTGAACTCCCATCGAATTACATATTAAATTGCATGATGAATCCGCATGCTGCAATCCTAGCACAACACTCCCTCTCCAGCACGATCTCGTGAAAGCCAAGTTAGTTTGCTGGCGCAGGTGATCCTAGTAAAGAGCGAAAAATAGCCAAGTGCGCGTCTTCCATTACAGTTATTTATTGAGAGGAATTATTGTAGTTTATTCCACCCAACATCTCCAAATTCATGGAAAAGTTTATTACTTTCGTTTATGGCCACACTATCAGTAACAGCCCATTCGGAAGGCCGATTGTCGTAAAAAAGAACACTTCCAGCTACGTGTCGGTCGCAAATAAAGTGTTCCCATGTCACACGCAATGCCGGTCCTTCGGTTATATCAACCACGTGTACTTTATGCGATGCCTGTTCCGTGGCCAATCAAATGAATAAAAACACGTGGATCGATCGAATTCGCATTTTCTCGCCATTTGGCTGATTTCTAATGGCCGAAGAGATCGATTTTAGTACACCTGTGATGGTCAAGCCTGTTGGTCTTTAGAAATAGCTCGTAACTCCTATCTTTCAAATTACTACCTCATACCTCCTTACCACACTGTTGCGTATTTGGGATGCACTTCACAAGTCGCATTCATATACGGAGTCTTCGTGAAACTCCTTTTGTTCTGGTAGCCGACCTGATGTACCGAAATTTGGACAACACCGTTGTTTGCCAACTTTTGCCGTTTACATGAATTATGCTCGTGGCTGCCGCATTGGAATGATTTATGGTACAAACAATCTGACAAAGATTATCGGAACTAGATATCCTCATCATAAGTGTCAATTTTTCACTGTTGTAGTGTATTGGATGACGTTTCCTAACTCTGTCGCCTTGGCAATAGCACATTTGGCTAACTTTGGTTGTGATATCCATGAATTGCTTATCTCCTCCATGTCAGTTGCCATTTTTCTTTCGCGTTCAGGGGTTCTACGCAATATTTTTTGATAAGATAAAGTACACAAGACTGGCTTCACATGGTTCGAATGTGCATCCTTCCATCCACGAGACCTGTGGCATACTGATCGTGCTGTGTCTAGTCCATTTCACTGTTAGGCAACTATTTGCCTAACCACAACTGAATACTGACAACGCGTACTTTTGCTTTTGAAGGTTTCAATGTGAACGCTTTATCATCGCTCGAGGTGACAGCACTTTGTCGTAGTGTCGGTTGGTGTTGGTCGGTCATTTGAACCGGATGTAGAGTGTAGTCGCTGTTTTGTGTGAGCAGTGAAAATATCGGGCTCAGCGTGCACAGCCTGAGTTATGGAGATTTCCCTCGATATCAAATATTCCAACGGACCGAATGATACTCCGATTCCTCCAAGTGTTAGTTCTAATGAACCGATGCAAGAAGAATATTCAAGGTGATATTCATTAACCTGTTTTGCCTAAACTCATCCGTGTGCTTCCTGTCTATAGTTGATGCATCGGATATAGAGATTGATGACACGGCAGTGTTCTACTTCAGCTGTTTGCACCTCTGTGGCACTAGTGTCGTATCGTTTTAAAGTAGTAAACAACTCTTTTAGGTGGAAGTCGTCCTCGGTAAAACAGGTTCTTCTCACTCTTCGATCGTTGGCCTTGCCCTTGAAACACTGTTTCAGTCTTATCCACCATATCAGCTAGTGTGTTTCATAGGTTTCCCTTCCCCTCTTGACCACTCACATCACCCAGCTTCATTGGAAACTGTCCCCAGGGAATAACTTATGTGCAATCAATCGACTATTCCTTCTCCTCGGCTTAGCGTAGCTTTCTCATCACATTTCACATAGGATAGCTGATATAATCCTCCGTAAGACCAAAGGAGCATTGACAACTGAACAATCTGTTCAACTAGCCTTTTTTCTTCCCTGTCTTTGACCACGCCCTTTCTGACAGGAGATATTGTTTGGGATTGTCGGTTTACCCAAGGTAATCTTAGTATCCCAGATCACGTGACTCAGCTTGTCGTCAACTGAATTGGTACGTGTACATAAATCGGTCAGTTGGGCCAAGCTTACAGTAGGTTTTGGTTTGTTCGATGTTTTGGGGGTGCTTTCTGTAGATTGATCCTCTTTGTACTGACAAACAAGCTGTTGGAAGGTAATTTGATGAAGGGATTATTTCTTTTGGTGATGTTTTGCTGCTTTTCAGTCCTGTCGGATTAATATTGACAGGATCGGCAATGTAAACGAACTGTTCCGTGTTGGTTCGCGGTAGTTGATTTTCCGATTTGCTCACCAAAGCATTTTCTTGACGTGATCATCGTCATCATCATCATCGACAGAATGATGACAGATAGGTTTTGCTGTACTGTTATTTGATCAAATAATTTCCCACCACTGTATCTGAATAGTACATTAGCTTAGTTGACCGGGTTTCTTCAGTTGAGGATGCAATGTTTCTCTCTTTACTTAGGGTTACTCACCGGCATAGTCACACTTCAACTGCGAGGTGGATGATACACTGCCAACCGTTTGTTGGATAGCGGTGTTTGTTTTAACCTTTTACTGCACCTAATTTGAGTTGTTTTTCCCATTCTGACGCCTGCAATTGTGCTTCTTTCAGAGTTCTCTCTTACCCTGACTGTTTTTGGGTGCCCCAGAATGCTTCATTGTATGCGTTCAATAGTCCCCGTAACTTTACTTAGTTTCGTGTCCCACGCAACCACGCATGAGTGGTACTTCTGCTTAGAATGACGTCAGCAACAAGGGATCTACGACATTGTTGTATATGTATCGTTTCCGCTGCACTATGGTTACCAAGGTTTCCATCTATTCGGATGCTGTCAGCTGAATTGTGGATTTAATTTTCCGCATCTTCATTCTGACCTTGAAGAGGAAAGAAAGACGGTTGTACTGGCCTATCTGTTCGCTCTCACGTTGAGAAACACTTTATTCTCTATTATCTTTCTAGTTGGTCTTTTTGTTTTACCAGGTTTGTCGAAATGGGTCCCTACCACTACATCATATGTTGTTTCGTACTTACCAACCTGCATCACCATCCGTGTTTCAGCTCCCCCCACCCGGGTCCGAGTTAACACACGACCAGGAGGCCCGTCTTCATAAATTGCGAGGTTTTCGCGGCCAAGCCGAGCAAACCAGACTCACGAACGAAAACTTGGGTACGTATCGCTCCTTTTTATGCTCTCTCTCCCTCTTTGTTTGTCAGAGCAACTTTTGCACATTAAATCGGGGCCTAAAGCCGATAGGAACCGCAAGCGGATTGTTCGCAGTTTTACTGACATACTTCCTATCCTCAGCTTTTAAGTGATTCGCGAAAACGAAAGGACTGAAAATCTTGCTCGATGAAATATGCCAATCTAAGTGTATTTCCATTTGGTTTGGCCTCTATGTCCTCCTCCTGTTTGAGCATTCCAATGTATGCTTCACATACCTGAGAATTAGTTTCGCGGCCTCTTTACTGTTACCTATCTAGATTAGCGGTTGTCCTGTTTGATAGTGGATTCCTAAGTTGCCTATCGTGAGGTCTGTGCATATTGATAGTGCGAGAACCTACGTTAAACAACTACCGGACTATCGGATCTTGAAAAATGGCCCAACTGCATTTCGCTGTTTCGCAGCAGCATATTAGTGGACTTTTACGATATTCCCATGTGCTTCCAGTGCTTCTTTCCTGTTTGGTGAAGGATTCGAGACAGCTGTTGTTACCTTGTCATTTGCATGTCGAAATACAGAAGTGCGTTTTCGAATACACATACGGGAATCGTGATGTTTGCCGAACAGCTACTTGTGGCACCCTATTACTCTGATGAAGCAAATGCAGTAGGTAACCTGTCACGTGACAGTGTAAATGAGGAAAGACGCTGTAAGTCCTGTTGTTCCTTCGGCCTCTTCGTAGCTTGATGTCTGCGAACTAGTTAAGTGACTGGTTGAGATTGTACGTACTTCGATTCCTTGTTGACGTCTTGTTTTTTTTTTGGCAGAATTTGGCGAAATTTTCATTGCAATAATACAAACACGTATGCCGACACGTGAGAAGGGAAATTGGTTTGGCGGAGCCAGCTAGTAATCTAAGTCTGGTGTTAGCCACAGCCATCGCAAGAATATGGATAATCTTTTCGGTCATAGTTTGAGGAAATAGCGACCTATGTGAACTATGAACTTAACTATGTGTTATCAGCTGACGATTCACGCTTATGGTGTTGCATGGTTCAGCGATAGCGCCCTTTCGCTGCCTAGCTTCCATGCCGACCGAAGGAAGTATGAGGACCGAGATACTGCCAGGTTGTCCAAGCCTAGACGGAAGCAGTCGAGATGCAGGGGTCGGGTTCGAACCACGGACCTTCAGGTCAGTAAGTTTGCGTCTCAATCACTGGACCATCTCGAGCTGGGATCGCATGCGAGCTATTGACCGTTTAGCTCAAAAGCCATGGAAGATATCGATAGCATTATAATTTATCTGTCTACCAAACTCTTCTCGCCAGTCAAATCGATATTCCACCGAGCGGTCCCCGTCATCTGGTTACTCATCTAGTAACACAATCATATCCTTCCATAAATTTAGTTCTCTCGGAGTTAGCGTGTCGACTGTGATTTACAACCTGCAGGCTGAATATCCCTTATACTGATTCACAAATGGGGCTGATTCAAAGACGAATCTTTTAAAATAGACACCCTTTTCTTTTGTCATTCCTCTCTACCACGGAATACTCTGCTGTGTTTTTGGGCCTGTATTTTTCGATATTGCCTTCATCAGTGGTAGCGAGATGGTTGAGAACTTCCGGGCCGACCACATATCCCTAGCCGAGATGCGAGATGGCGCGAATTTACTGACCGGAAGGTCCGTGGTTCGAATCCGACCTCTGCCTCTCGACTTCCCCTGTCTAGGCTTGAGCAACCTGGCAGTATTCCAGTCCTCGTGCTTCCTTCGGGTGGCATGGCAGCTAGGCATCGAAAGGGTGCTACATCTGGACGGTTTCTAGCCGAACATAACAAAACAGATGGAACTCCAATGCATGAACATTGATTTTGGGGGGTCCGTTAAGCTCTATCTCTCTACACACTACTTTGATCGGCATAGTTCTTACATAGAATCCATACGCAGTTGGTATTTGTCGGTATTTTGATTAGATTGACCCCTTCATTGCTGGGCCGGTACAGCTTTCCAGAAATAAATCTATTTTGAGAGTGAATTTGTAAAACGTGCTCTCCGGTATCCGAAAACTTAATTTGTCTAACCCAACCGGTTTCCATAATAATCGCTTGTGTTTTGTCCGGATCAGCTTCTTCGTGAAATGTAGTATATTAATGTTGGGTGAAAGAGATTGTCCATCCTGTCTTCATATTCCATTGTCTCATCATAGCCTGTTTGATTCTCTTTTAAGGGAACTCATTGACCGGTTTCTTTGGTTTCCTTCCGATAGCTTACATGTTTGTTTCACAGACTGTATTTACACTCACGATTTCCATCACATTCTGTATTATATTTGCAGCTAAGGAGATCGATAACTTTGCTCGAATGTTATCGGCAAAAGAGCTCGAGGTGGAAACATATAACCGTCGCACGGATGAGTCACAACGGCTTTTATCACTTATCAGAACTTGCCATGGTACTGTTACCAACAGCTCAACTTCACGGACCGGTCGTCTTACTGCGACGAAATCACCTGAATTGACTGTGGCGGTTGTTGACACGGCGGACCTGGACAAGCCGTTGGATTTGCTGTCGGTTCAACTGCCTTTTGCTTCCGAACGGGTGCGCTGAGTTTTTGTGGTTTTATTTCAATTCATATGTCGGCTAATACAAATCCACTTTGCGTTTCAGTTTGTCGACATGTACTTGTTAAGGTACCTGATCGAAGTACACATTTTCCACCTCCTACATGTCCAAATCTCTTATACTGGAATCCTCCAATTAACCCACACTTGTGAAACTGACTTTCACTAATTTTATAAACAGACGCCCGCATCATATGCCGAGCAGCCCAGTAACACTACATATTGGTTCCCCATTGCGGGACTAATCAGCTCGTTTTGGATAGAAACGCGCAGCTTTTGCGTTCTCTACATGAGTGTTTGATTGGAATTGGTCTCGTTAACCTTTGCCAATTCACAACACCGGGCAACTTATCCTATGTTATGCAGCTGTTTAGTCAAGTGTGCGGGTTTTGTTTTCCCCTGGGCGTGCTACCACTGGAACAACGGCCAAACTGACCGTGCTGATACGACTGAATTCGGTCAACTCTGATGGCAATATTTTATCGGTGACTGTAGCACTTTCGGTGCATGCCAGGATGGGGACCGCGTGGTCCCCACTGCGCCCGGTTGAAGACACTACAATATATGGCTGCCAACCGATGTCAGTTTGTATCCAGATTACCTGAGCGAATGTCTGGAGGTGTAGACACCTCGGAGTGATTGTGGCAAGCTACCACTAAGTCCCTTCCCCGTTCACCTTTTTTCTTTTCTTTACACAAGACTTTCAAATAAATAATGGTTGTACGGCAGTGAAGCATCGGCGTTGAGCACTGATGTCATGCTGTCGATGATGATGATGACTGTAAGAAAGGCACTAAGAGGTCATGCATCCAGCGCTACTAATGGACCACAAGACTCGTAATCATTACTGTAAAATCCGCGCACAATGCATCATGTAAGTGGTGGTTCTATCAAACTTTACACATTGGAAGGAACTTTCGCAACTGCTTTATTGCTAGGACACTTCCCAGCTGTTGAAAGCGGTCACTTGCGCATCACCAATGCTACACCCGTGTTGTTTGTTAGACTCTGCTATCAGAGTGATTATGATGTATGAAAACAAAGACACCGTTTGAGTAGACCATAAGGTTGACGGAAACTCGGGGACTGCACCTACCTGATGAGCCCCAAGAAGGGTGAGACCGGTCGTGGGCTGTGGAAGAGTTTTCAGCAACCTTGTGAGTAGTTCCCTTTATGAAAAAGATACCTAGAATTAACTCTGCTCGGGCATGCACACAATTCACAAATATGGGGTCACACCGCAGACAACTAACCGTGCTCTTGGTGCAGAGTTCATCAAACACAATCACCGGCATTTACAGTAAATTCATATTCCTGATATGTTTTGTCATCGTTTGTTTTCGTGGTAATTGGGATCCAATAGCAATCGCAAGATCTTATGCCACAAGTCTGGGCATAGTCAATTCACGAATGTGTTGTTGCCTTAGCCGTGCGCGCCGTTACCGCTAGGTTTAACGAGCGTGATTGCGGCCCATCGATCGCGGTTTCACCCACTATGCCTCCGGTCTTGGTGCTGATATGGGTGTCCAGCTGCTGGCCGGTTGCAGATAACCATAGTCAAAATCTCGGATCCTTCACATTGTTCCCCACTCGATGTTTGTTATTACAAATATCACCTTGTAGCTCGCTGAAAAATAAGACATCGAAGAATTCGACTACCGACTACTTTCAAACGATATTATCCATTGGTCTTTAAAGTTATCCACTTATGGTTAGGATATTTAGAAAAAGCTTGAGATTCTCTGCCGCGCCATAAACAAATCGGCTAAACTATACTTTTTCACTTTAGGTCCTAGTGTTTTGTGCAGTCAGTCTTATTAGCACTACCTTTTTCGGTGCACCCTTACTCCTAGAGACCACAACGGATACCGATGAACTTTCGTGTAAGTGTTCTAAATTTTTCAGGATGCTAATTCTCAGAGTAGATTAGCCCAACTTTTACATTTTTACAGATATCAGTATTGAAACAGCCTTCGGGCAAAGTAACCCAATAGTGTCTATAGTTTTAAGAGCTATGTTTGTAGAGTTACTTGAGAGTCTCGGCAATGACGCCCCCGTGTTTTTATCCAGCTAGGCATATCCAGTCTTCCCCCAACTAAAGAGAAGAATTTAGTGAACCCTTCTCCGATTTAGCTGTCGTTTGTCTTGTCATGATAGCGTAGCTATCCTGATGTGTGCAGGGAGTTCTGTCACCAGCGAACACGCCTGCTTCCTAGCTGTTCGCTTGTTATTCCTCCACCTTGTTTTTGTGACGTGCAGGCAGATCACGTTGTGTTATGCACGACTGTCCCGCCAGTACGCTTTACGGCAGTTTGTGTTTTTGCCAGTATCCGCGTCCTCGTATGCAATTTCTCCATCGCCGGTTAAATTTAGCCCACACTCAAATATGGGGATTTCTGCTCGAGGTTCTTTTTAGTCTTCAAGAGACCAATAACCTTGTTCTTTTGATAACATTCGTGATAAATTCTAAAAGATTGCCTTACATAATCGCGTCTTCCAGGACAAGAAGCGTTGGCGTGATGGACTAATTGAAGCGGATCGTCTCGACCGGCAAATCACCCTGGCACTTAGTCATCGAACACACTCGAAGCGTGGTCCGACGCAACTTCCCGACTCTAAACCAGAACAAACACCACCACTGAGGCCTCTTGCCGCAAGCACAACCGTCATCTCTGGCATCGGATCTACACATCAGTCATCTAAGTATCAGTATGTTGCCTTTTGCTCTTACTACTGTTGTTTACCGGATTAGATTCCGTCCGACTTAACAGTTTTTTTTGGGCGGCATATGTATTCGTAGGACGTTCCCTTCAATGATTAGCTGCTATTGCACTGTACGGCATTAACTCCTCCCTGAAAGTCTGTTGTTCCCTATTCTCTGGTGGTTGCATTCTTGTTGTTACGATGGTGATTGTCTAGACACCAACTACTTCAATGGGCGTTTAGGTATTGTGACTGACGTACGCGACCATCTAACCTTTGCAAAATACTGCCCTTGTAAACGGTAGCCAGTCAAAATCTGTCTCAACTGCGCAATCCGGAATCAGTGACTTTTGCAGCACAATAAATTGTGGTTAATTTCATGTCGGAATTTGTTTCAGTGCAAAGGATTGTTCTGTCGTGAATCACAACCCCGTATGATCAACTGTATAATGGAAAGCAAGACCAGTACTGAAGACCCTAGTATGGTTGCGCTGGAGTACTGTGGCATCAAATGGAATGCAGAAGCGGTTAAACATTCGATGTAGCGAGTACTTGCACATCTTCCAACCTTTAGTAGCACAAACCGGAATGTGGCCACTGAAATGTGCTCGTATCCTACAGGTATACGCAGCTAAATCCGATTTTAGTTTCATGCATTCCCTACGTAGTACCAGTGGTAGCTAGTTCCGCTGATCCCAAATACCACTGTATTGTTGGTTTGTAGCGTATTCGTAACGGGATCATATTGGCTCCCTATGTATATATATATATATATAT